GCGCAGTGTGTCCTTACGCTCACACTATATCCGAATAGTTTATCTTCCGTCTCCATTGGGCTTTAAAGGAAAAAAGATAGTACATGTGTGTTTTCCTTTACACCGCATTGCGTAATATGTTAATGACAGCCATCTGTTTTAATGTTTTTTCTACTTCATTACTTTGCAAATATTTGCTATAATTCTAAGCCAAATATGCATAATTGTTGTATTCACTTTGAGATGAGTCTTCGGTACCCTTTAGTTAACAAAAAAAACTTTAAGCTATTGTGATACTTATATGCTTATCATAATTCGTTCATTTGCAAACGAATCCCACGTATTCTTTCTGATTATACGCTGGAAGATTTACTTTATCACCGATTATTATGAATGAGAAACTTGATCGTCGCAATAACACAAATATCGTATATATATATATATATATATATGACAAATTTTTAATTTTTTGCGATCACAAGCACTTCAATAATAATGTGTGGATTAACTATCGGACACTTTGACGAAGTGCACAGATAAAGCTAAATTATTGTAACAAATTCAAAGCTCAAAGGGCTCTTTCTGGGAATTACAAACGATAGAACTAATCTAATACACATCCAACCTTAGATAGCAGTAAAGGTAGAATATATAAAAAGTGTATATAACTAAATCATGTAAATGAATTAGCAAATGTTTGAAAAGCAATGATTGATGTTCGATGCATGCTTTCCACGATAATATTATTGTAAAAACTTTGTGCTTTCATTCGTTATCTATGAAATCGAACACTTTCCACGTTAGGTGGTTTGGTTAATGAGCACTTTCAGCGAAATAACGGATATTCTGAACATGAATTTATTTTCCACAGGCACTTAAGTGTTTTTACGCATGTATGAAGAATAAAGAACTCTATGGAATGCATACATAATTCACAAAAAAAAAAAAAAAAATCAAATTTTGTTGTTCTTTCTTCGCGAAAAACTATAAAGTAGACTGTACATTAAAAATAATAAAAATATTACGGTTGCTCTCTATCTAATAATTATCCAATATGTCGTCGACAACAGATACGGGCAACACTGAATCGGGACCAAATGCAGAGGTAAGTCATTGTTAAGGCACAACTTTTATTTTCAAGTCATGATATATAAAATTGTAAAATAAGTCTTATATTTTAATAAAGATTTCGGTTTTTTTTTTTTGATTTTTTTTTAGCATTAAACACATTTAATATTTATTTAATTTCGTATTTTAATCTTTGACATTGTGTTAATCTTTCTTGGATTTAGAGGACTTTTTCGTATGTATGCTCCGTTTTTTCGCTTCTGTCTGATTCAAAGCATTATAAAAAGTTGGTCTATTGCCAAAAGTCCTTTACTTTATGGTTCACATTTTCCGTTGGAGATTCTAGTTTATTTTTTTTTTTTTTTTTTTTCTATACAATATTTCCTTTTTAATGCATTAGAGTATAACATACATATAGGACTTCCGTTTTTCAAAAAAAAAAAATTTGTTTTTCGTTTTCTTTTATCATTTTGTGCAGTTCTTTATTTGATTGTCATTAGTGAACTGCTTTCGTGAAATCATTACATGTTCATACAAGTCTCATAAAAAACTTACATATACGAAATATTTGGTATTGTCGCAGAGGCCGACTTTAGCACACATATATGCTTGTTGGAGGTGTACGGGCGCTTAAAATAATATTTAAATAGGTGAGACCAGCTAATGAGAGATTATTTGCTAATAAGGTTGGTTTTCAATTAGCTTTGAAGTGATTGCGGGCTTGAATAACAAATCATTACAGCTGAGGGCAGTTTAACAAAGAGTTATCTTTTGTAACTTGAGCTTGCTTTTCTTTTACTTCCTTTTTTTTTCGTTTTTTTTTTGTTTTGTATATTAAATAGTTAATATTTGCCTCTGTGCTTGTTTTTTTTTTTTTTTGTTTCAAACGAGATGAAGAAAAATAACTGAGTTGACTACGAATCTCAAGATATCAGCGTTTTCAGAGTCCGTACTATTTTTAGTTCAGTTTTATTTTATTGTAAGGTGTTTAACATGCGTTGATAAATATTACCTATGAATTATATGCTACTGACTGATCAATATGCTTGCTATATTATATTGATAGACGTATGGATAAATGACGAATTAATGTTCAATATGATAGCAAAAAGTGACCAAACCATTTTACAATTTCCTTTTCAATGAATGGTATCTATATCTATTGTCCGAAAATATGATTTACATGTCATTAAAATTTGTAATTCGAAATAAATGAAAGTGCCTTCACCTAGATTAAAGAAAGTCACTAAAAAACTAATAAACAAATTGCGCTGCAAGAATTTTATTGACGCCTACCTCTGATTTTAATAAATAGATCAGGGAGCACGATCACACGGAACTCGGGAACAGGAAAAAATTAATTTTAAGTTTCGAAAACGTACCTTCACTTATTCCCTTTTTTGTTTAAATGTGAACAGAGCCATTTTTGAACGCTACCCCCAAAGGAATTGCAATACAACTTTTAAGACAATGTAAAATAATTATCCCTATATTTGTAATTCCGAACGAACCCCTTGGACTGATGGTAGGAAAAAATATGAAATCAAATTCAAATTTTTTAAACAAAGCTAGAAGGTCATAATCGGGGTTTGCAAATCGACGGACATATAGAAGGCACGGCCAAATTAATTACCCTATTTGCATCGAATAAGAATGCATAACTTGTATGCATTGCAAACTTTTAATAAATCTAATATACCATCCGACAATTATATATCTAAAAATAAAAAATAAATATATATATATATATATATATATATATATTTTCTAACATATGCTATGAATACCAATCACTTTAATCTACCGTAACTGCTAGCAATTGCGAATATTGCACAATATAATGTCTAAGTGTTATGTATTAGTTAACTAACGGTCTTTAAACCAGAAATCTTTGCATGCCTTTCCTGCTTGTCTGAGTGTTGCATTCATCGAAACTCTTCATTCAAACATTGCTGACTCGAACAACAAGCAAACACTAAAAGAAAGTTGCTTTTGCAGATACTTTTTCGTTATTTGATTAAGATTACATAATAAAACGGTAGAAATGTATGGGCATTGAATGAAGCAATAAATAAATGAATAAATGAGTGATTGAATAAATGAATACATAACAATTTAAGCAATAAAATTTTCTATAATTTCTTCAACCATAAATGCATAAATAGGTGAAGTGAGTTTATTTATTTACTTTCTGTTCATATTTCTTTTCTTTTTTTTTTTTTTTTGTTATTTTTTGCTTCGATTTTTTCTTTTTTTTTTTTTTGTTGATTTTGTAAGTGTAGGAAATTTTTTTAATTTTTGTATTTACAGTTTAATTGCATTTCATTTGTCTTTGTTTTATATAAAACTTTATTTATTCATTTTTCTATTTATATATAAAAGTCATAATAATCTCTTGAAATCGCTATTATTTCAAAATTCTTTAGTCCTTCGTAATTTCCTATATATATCTATATATATATATTTACATATATATATATTCATTTATTTAGTCTATGAAAGATAGGGACTGCGATATATAATGAAGAAATAAGATTAACATTGGTAGCTAATTGATAAATTATCATAAATTTGATTAATTTGGTTTTGAACAAAGCTCTTACATTATAGAAAAAATACCTCTAAAGAGGCGCCTGAAGTATTTTGGTTAACTCTCAAATGCGTCAACGTAATGAATAATAATAATAATAATAATGATAATAATGACGACGCTTATGTAGATAACCTAGTTCATTAGAATTTATACAACGCTGTGAACTCCTAAACTTTAGTTTAGTTTATTAAAACCAAGCCGCTATTAATGTAATCGATGAACATGGTGTTAGGGATAGGTGGCATTTGCCATCAATTGTATATGTGCAGGTACCTTACGGGAAATATTTCATTAACGGATATCATTTAATCTAATCATCGTTCTTAATAATCATTTAACAGAAACGAATGCGAATGCATTTGCAGCGATGATATTATAGTGTCAAAGCTACTAATGCGCTTGCGCGAAAACGGTTTCAAAGAGCGACGAATGAACTGCAATTCAATAAACAGATAAGCTTAATTGCATAATAGCCATCGAAGAAGCTAATATTCATTTACTCTTTTTACACTTATACTTCTTTGCTGATATACAGTGAGGAATGGTTTAGATTGAGTTCACATGCGCCTTGTTCGTGTCGAAGGAAAATCACAATATCTTCTCCTAGTATTTAAAGCCTGTCATACTTAACGCCTAGCGAACTTTGTTAATCTCGTGATATATTAGACAAAGTTAAGAACAGAATGACTTTCGTAACGATCACAGGAATATTATAAATCAGCTACCTTTTCTCATAAGATGTTTGCTGTATTGAAAGATCCCGTTATGATATATAAGCGAGGGAATATTAAAGATCTCTGTGTACGCCTTCTGCGATTAAATTCGATCCGTGGATAAGCGTAAACACACCTAATGGCATTCTTATCATTTCCGCCGTACGCCCAGTCATTTCGTGTCTGAAATACAAATATTCTTGCACTATGGAGCCCCGGTGAGTGAGTTACTGGAAAAGCATCTAACAGCACATTTACGCCTGGAACTTAGTAATGCTGTATCCTTTCTTAGACTAAATATTTAATATTCGTAATAGAGAGCAGACAGTAGCGGCATAAATCCGGTATTTTTAAAAACAAGAGAAAATTTATATTAACTTTAAGCTCGATTTTTTAACACTTTGCACTGGCTTGTTCAGGATGTCCGGTTAAAACATGAAGTGAAAATCCGTTCGAAATACGAATATTGAAACTCACATTTTTAAACAATTTGGCAGCACTTCATAGGTGATCACATATATTCTATGCTTTCCGAATCGAATAAAAATCTATATTAAAAAGAAGACTACGGCTTTAGCATTAAATACAAATTGTTAAGTTTTTATAATTATTTTTAAAAATTTTTTCTTTTTTTTTTATAATTTCAGAATTTAGTGTATTCACCACAAAAAGTACGTCGCGTACGTATAATTCTGAGTATCGTTGCCGTTCTAGTGGTAATAGCTTTATTGGCTATCATTGTAACATTTTTAATACGTGGCAGTAATGACGCCGCTGAGGCAGTTCCGCCCCGCAACAGCATACAATTAGATGATATATTACAAAGCAAATTGGTGGCTCGTCATTTCAACGGAAGTTGGTCAAGAGGCAGTAATATTTTATACAGAGAAAACAATGTAAGAATAAATTCAATCAATTAATTCTATCTGACGTACAAGCTTAACCTTAAGAGAGAAAAAAAAATTCTCTTCAAAGTAAATCAACCGTAAATTCTAACCATTTTTTCCTTTTCCATTTTGTGCGTATACCATTGTGCGTTGTACCATGTCTTCCTTTCTTTATCTCTATCTGTTCACCGGCTCTCTAACCGCAAATCGTATTTTTATTATACTCTTTTTCTATTTATTTATTTATTTATTTATTTATTTATTTATTTATATTTTCCGTTATTCGCTTTTATAACAGATTATTAAGGAGTTTAATGTAAAAACGAAACAGAAAACCAAATTATTGGTCGATGATCCCGTAAGTTGCGTTACAAACACCTGCAGTGTGTGCACTAAGCATTTAACAATAATGCATTTTTAACTTGTTTTCGTTGTCGTTTTTCAGCAACATTACCTTCTGTATGAGAAATCTGCCGATGGCCAGCTATTGTTATTGGCGAAGAATGTAAAAAAGAATTTTCGCCATAGTTTTGTGGCCGAATACGACATATACAATATTACCTCCGGTCACATGCAACCATTGCTTTTGCAAAATGAACAAAAAGCATTGATTATGGTTCAATGGTCACCTGTGGGCAATGCATTGGTTATTAATTTTGAGGGAAATTTATATTATAAACCAAACATTAGTGCCGATGAAATTTCATTAACGCACGATACAAATCCTGCAGTTTTAAATGGTATACCCGATTGGGTTTACGAAGAGGAGGTATTCTCCTCAAATACAGCCACCTGGTTTAGTCCGGACGGTAAAAATTTAGCATATATTCAATTCGATGACTCACCAACGCATGTCGTCAATCTGCCTATTTACGGTGAGGCGAGCGATTTACGTTTTCAATATCCGTACAATCGTTTAATTGCATATCCAAAATCTGGTTCGCCGAATCCCCGTGTTAAATTGTTTACGGCGGACTTAATAAGAGCGGCCAGCGGTACCGGTGACTACATCACAGAAATTCCGGTACCGAGTGCTTTAAACACTGCAAGCGATTTTATAATTAGCGTTGTTGAATGGGTTAACAATTCGAATGTATTATCGGTTTGGCTCAATCGTATACAAAATGCTGCTCATGTGCAAATTTTTAACGGACTTAGAAGGCACGAGGTAAGTTAGCGATAAAACATTCCATTTCGTTTTTTTTCTTTACTAAATCAACTGACAACACGATGTAGATAGAAAGATTCTTGAAGTGAAAAGATTGCTATCTCGACCTTATTTTGAAGCTTTGAGGCTTATTATGATTTCCTCTAGGTCGCGAAAACTCTAAAAAATTATCCGTCCATACTTTTCGGTTGTCAACGTACTCTTCTTACTCAGTAAAACTGAAGATTGGACTTTAAATTCCTCTTTCTTAGTTGTAGCGAATTTATTCTCCCCAAAAATAAAATATTTGAAGTTTGAATGCAAATTGTAAGCTTTAAACATATTTTTTTGGGGCGAATAGTTATTTGAAAGTTAAAGATACCTAAACTTATACAACACAAATGACATAGTTAGGAGAATTACATTAAACAGTATAAAAAGAAATTCCTATTTCATGACTATATGTTTAATATCGGATTGCTTATTCGTGAAAAAATTGTAGTAACCACGTTTATGGCGATCTCTAGATTTACAGCTTAGAATCAAAAACTGGTTGGGTTGATTTTTTCTCAGCGCCATTTAAAAATCGCGACGGTTCACGCATTGCTCTAATACTGCCTCAAACACAAGATGACCAAGGGGATTATCGTCATTTGTGTTTACTCCCTACAACTGCAACGAATAATCAACCTGAAGCTTTAACCAAAGGCAAATATGTAGTGACCTCAATACTACACTGGGATACCAGTAATGATGTGATATTTTATACAGCTAATACGGAACAACATCCGGAACAATTGCATGTTTATGCTATAAAGGCCATCAAAGGACAAGCGGCGAAATGTCTAACTTGTAAATTACATCAGTCAGGAAGTAAGTGTTGAGATGAGAAAAAATGAAGAAAAATAAATTTTCGTTATTTCTTTTCCTTATTTTTTTTTTTATATTTTTTGATTTGCTTGCTAATCATTTCCCTAAGATGTTGAACAAAATTATTATACGGCCAATTTTAATACCGAGAATCATGTAGTTATTACTTCGCTGGGTCCGGGCATACCTATGGTGGCCGTTTATGAGTGGTCTCTTGAAAATAGTGAGTCTGAGAGAGATTAATGAACGCTTTGCTTTGTTACGAGTAGTTTTTTTTTTCAGATCAAGTTAGTTTAGGCAAAATGTTAAAATGGGAATTTAATGAGAATTTGGCCAACAAATTGGCCACATATGATCTGCCCGTACAAGAAATACATAACATTCCCATAGCTAATGGTTTCACTGCCAAGGTTCTGCTGCAATTACCGCCGAACATGGATCGCAGCGGCAAAACGAAATATCCCTTATTAGTTGATGTTTACGGTGGACCAGATTCTTATTCAGTTGTCAATAAATGGATTATTGATTGGGGTAGTTATCTATCCTCTAATCGTTCGGTAATTTATGCTAAAATCGATGGCAGGGGCTCAGGTCTAAGGGGGGAGAAGCTTCTACATTCCGTTTATTTAAAATTAGGTACTGTTGAAATAACCGATCAAATTGAGGTGACGAGGTGGGTTAGAAATGAATAACCGTTCTTACCAATAGTCCTTTTTAATAAAATTTGTTCGCTTTCCAGACAATTACAACAGAAATTTCCTTTCATTGATGCCAAACATACCGGTATTTGGGGATGGAGTTACGGTGGTTATGCAGCAGCTATGGCTTTAACAAATGATGATCACAAAGTTTTTCGATGTGCAGCATCAATAGCTCCCGTCACAGATTGGGTTTATTACGGTAGGTAATTAAAAATAAACGTCCTAAGAAAAATGTGTATAAATATATCATATTAGACTCCATTTACACTGAACGATACATGAGTTTGCCTATACTTAACGAGATCGGCTATCAAAATAGTCGTCTCAGTACAAAAGCATTGCAATTAAAGGGCAGAAAGTACCTTTTAGTTCACGGAACTTTAGACGACAACGTTCATTATCAACAGGCGATGATATTGGCCAAAAACTTGGAAAGAAATGATATACTGTTCAAGCAAATTGTAAGTTAAACGGATGCTTACTAAATTTAGTTAAGGCTCCGTCATCAAATTGCACCTTATTTTCTTATTATAGAGTTATCCTGATGAAGATCATGCTTTGGGGGGCGTACGGCCACATCTATATCATTCATTGGATCGCTTCTTTGGCGATTGCTTCGCTAATAAGCAAATGGCTTCTAGCAAATAGATCTCAAATTTATTTTCCCAAAAAAAATTTTAAATCAATACTGAAGAGCAGAAGTTTCTTTGTTGCCGCGTTAGATATTTAATTTATAAAACCCTTATTAGAGAAAATCAGAAGCGCATGCATACAATTTACGCTTTGGTAAGAAATTATTGAATTATTTTACAAAAAAGCGCAAAACAGGTTCAAAAATATTTTGCATTTAATAAACACAAACAATATAAAACGTATATATATACATATATATGTATACGAAACTTTGCAAACCTGTCATTATGTCAAACATAACCTCAAAAATTTATAAAGAAGAACAATAATTAAAAAAAAAAAATTATAATAATAATAATAATAATAAATATTTGTAGGATTTTTTGATAAAAAAAAAAAGAAGAGAACACAAACTTTTAAAACAATTTAATGAGAAATTTACAAGGATTTTCAGTAGAAGCTTAGCCTCAACAAAAACGCAACTCTGTTAATGTTTAGCTATACATAACCCTACAAAAAACACCAGCAAAAATTTATTTCAATAGACAAACCAAATTTTTAAGTCGCATTACAATTTTTTTGATAAAAGAAGTTAATTGAACTCCTTAAAATGTAGTTGGTGCCTAATTAGATTTTAAAATGGATAAATAAAAAAAGTCTTAGAAAATTTTATACAAAACTCGTAAAAGGTCAGCAAATAATTTCATGCTCCCTGTGTTAAAGCTACAAAAATAAATAAATAAATAAATAAATAAATAAATAAAAATGAAAGAAAATATTTAAAATAAACAATGAAAAAATAAAAATCATTAATATATTAAATATTTTTCTATAAAATGGAAATTAAAAATATGTTTTTCTTTTTTAGTAACATATTTTACTATCTTGCTATTTTAAATAAATTAAAAAGAATTGCAACATTGCCAATAGTTTATAAAATAATATATCATTCAATGAATTAATTTTTTTACTGAAAAATAATAGATTATTATCTTGGTCTGTAAAAATTTTTTTGATATAAAATTATGATCAAAAAACCAATTTTTTTTTTTTTATCAATTGTTATTTTATTTGATTAATAAGTAAATTGTGAAAAAGCCAATAAACTTTAAAAGAAAAAAAAAACAAAAAAAATAAAATAAAGCGAAATCAAAGAAAAATATAACAAAAAAGAAATTAAAAATAAAAAACTATTTTAATGGATTCTAATTTTGGTAAGATAAGAGTAACAGTCCGCACATATTTTACGTTTCATGCATAGATTAATGAATTCATGTTCTTGAGAGTTGTATGACATTTGTAATCCTCCTGATATGGATTACGAACATGCCGTGTCTATAGCAGACTCGCTTCAAGCGAAGCCAGCAAAAAAGGTTATATTAAGCTAAAATGACGGAGCGAGAAAGTCTTGAACTAATATTTATATTTACGAGGCGATGCCAGGCGAGTGAGAGCTCTTTTAAAATGCTTAAGGGGTTGTCTTTAGATATATGGAGGCTACTTAGTATAAGTGATATTTATACGGATACCATTTTCAACATTTTTAAAACTTATAGGGTTTACATGGGAAAAAATCAATTTTCACATTCTTCAGTAAACAGTTTTCAAGAAACATAGCTTCCCAGACGAATTTACTCACCCCCTGCATGCCTGTTGCTGCGCCGCTGCTATGTTATCTACCCACTGCTAAGTCTACAAAAGCGAGCGTTGAATTTTCAACTTATACCAAGTGCAGCCACTAAATTTGCAGCTGCCACGAACGATAATGCCGTGAGCGTTTATGTCCGCCACCACTTGTGGTACAAGGTACGTTAAGTTTGTGCGGATGTACATAACACCCAGAAGAGAGATCCACCTTTTAGAACATGATCCTGAATCGATATAAACTTGGCTTATCGCCTGATATCTGTCCATATACTTTGTGTTCGAACTATGGTTCAATTAAGTTCAAGGCCGCAATTTTTGAGATATTTTGATGAAATACGGCACTTTGATTTACTTTAACCGAAAGCTGAAATATTGAAAATGTTTCGGTTTGCTTCACTTTTTGACCATTCTCCGAAATAAAGTCCTATTTTAAAAAATCGTTATACGGGCAAAAAGACAGTTTTTAGACCTTTGCGACAAAATTCGCTAAGTAATTGTATTTTGACACTCTGTAAATTTGGCTCAGCTGAGGCAACTTTTTATATCCCCTCTTATATAGGCGTTCCTACGAAAGCTCAATCCTGATATAATAACAAGGTATTTTTTTTCAGTATTTCATGATGAAAGTTTTTTCATAAGAGTAAGTTTGCAAAGAAGTTAACTTAAACGAATTTTGGCGACGTAGGTCTACTTTTTGAATACCATCGCACATAAGGATTCTCCGGATATGTAATTGTTAATGTTTTGTGATGAAAACTTGTTCATGATAGTAATTAGACGTAAAAATTAAGTAGGCCCAATATAAACGACATTATTTCGACACCTCTCCGTATAAGATCTCTGATGAATAGTAAGCTCTCCAGAAAAAAGTTTGGTCATTAATACCTTGTGATGAAAATCAGACCTTAGTAGCGAATTAGCCAAAAAACTAACGGTAGGAAATTTGGATCACATAGGTCTATTTTTTGGAACCTAACATATATAAGGATTATCATGAAAAGCGAGCCCTTATATGGAAATAAAGTCTAACTTCCAATTTTTTAACTGAAAAGTAATAAAATTTTTATAAAGTTAATTAAGTTTGCTAAATGTGAATCACGCCTTGTAATAGTTTATATATTTAGACAATTTGTTGAGAACTACAGAGGCATAGCCAAGTTGAGTGTCTTGCCCAAGTTGTTCGAGCGTATTGTGACTCAGCATTTGGCCTTTGCCATTAATTCGTATATTTTTCCGCACCAGCACGGCTTTCGGAAAGGGCGATCTACAGTCACCAACTTGTTAGAGTTTACCTGTCATGTTTTCAAGGCTTTTTCTAGTGGCTCTCGCACAGATGTTATTTACACTGATTTAAGCAAATTGATCAACAGCACAGTGGAAGCCTTATGGCGGAAGCAGTCAGTTGATCAATTTGTGAGTCCTGACTGCTTGGGTTCGGCCCTTCGGGGAGTACTCGTGGTGGTTGTGGTTGGCGAGTTCCTAGCTAAAATGGAACAATTGAGTGCAGCTAGGCCTCGCCATTCACCAGAGTGGGGTTTATTGTTCCATACACAATAAACTGTTCTGGACTCTGGTGCTGTTTAGGCCCCTACTCTGTGGGGATTGTCTAACTCGCCAGGGGGCGTAGTACGCTTAAAAGTGGCTTGGGCCACCGTGGGGTTAAGCCTTTCAGGCAGGAACCCACGTTAAACCCTTGCCACAAATTCTGATTTAAGCAAAGCATTGGATACGGTTAACCATAGACTACTTATCTTTAAACTCCAAGCCTCTGGTTTCCCACCCTACTGAGTGAAATGGATAAGCTCTTATCTGCACAATAGATCCTTCAGAGTTTTGTTTAACTCCATTAGCTCGGATGAATTCCCCGTTAAGTCTGGCGTACCTCGAGGAAGTCAATTAGGTCCCATTTTATTTAGTTTATACATTAACGATCTCCCATCGGTGGTTAATTCCAGCCAGATCTTAATGAATGGTGATGATGTGAAACTGTTTTCTTCCTTCTCTGTTGAATCGCAATCACATCAGCTTCAAGGTGATTTGGATTATTTTGTTGCATGGTGCTCTTTGAATCTCCTGAAACTAAATCTGAGTAAATGTAAGAAGCTTTCATTCTCAAGAAGAAAGTCATTCATTACTCAGTATTTCATAGATTCGCATAAGTTGGAGGACGTCGATTCGATTACAGATTTAGGCGTTCTATTTGACCATAGGTTACGTTTTAACTTGCATATTGAGCTCTCGATTAGCAAAGCTAGGTCCGCGCTTGGTTTTATAAAAAGGTGGTCCAAAGAGCTTGATGATCCCTACATTACGAAAAGGCCGGACATGTGTTTGGTTAGACCCATACTCGAGTATGACTCAGTTGTGTGGTCTCCTTCATATAGGTGCTACGTAGATTCAATTGAATCAGTTCAAAAGCAATTCTTGCTGTTTGCCCTTAGAAATTTGGGTTGGGATCCGATTGTCTCTCTTCCTCCGTATGAAAATAGGTTGCTTGTGCTGTCCCTACCGTCTCTGGAGAAACGTAGATTTGTTCTTGGCGTTTCCTTTCTAATTAAAGTAATAAATGGTGCTATTGACTCGCCTTCATTACTTGGTGATATAAGCTTTAATGTCCCTAACCGCTTCTCTAGGCATTTTATCTTGGTTAAGCTTAATCAGTGTAAATTTAATTATGAGCTGTTCAATCCGCTCAGGGTCGTTTGCAAGAACCTAAATGACGTCTACTACTTATTCTCGTTATCGGACTCTTTAAAGTCCATTAAATTAAAGCAACATTGCCTAATACGCGCGATTTACCTATGTCGTATTTAAACTAGCTTTTATCCTTAAAAAGTCGTTACGTTTCGAAAGTGAATTATTGTCAATTTATTATCGGTTGCCAGGCTTATGCATGTTTGCGATGGCTTAGGGGTTCATTTGCAATTTGGTCCTGTACCGGTTGTAAGTGTGCTCCTATGCTGATAGTGTACATGCCTTTTTTTTTCTTCTTATTTGTTTTATTATGCTTATACTCAATTTTATTGTTAATTAATATTAGTTTTGCATTAAGAGCCTATTGAACTCGACTGTTATTTGTTTAGTTGAGTTTCTAGTATAGGTGGTATAAAATAAATAAATAAATAAACAAATAAATAAATAAATATCGGAGGATGTGTGGGCTTCTATGAGAAGTACGTTTTTACATCACAATAATGTGTAATATTTGATGTATTCTTACCCCAATAAGTGAATAACTGGATTAGACGACGTAATATAGGGTATCTAATGTTCGGCCTTGCCCGATTATAATGTTCTTACTTCTTTATTTAAGGATTGGGCATCTCTTACCAACAATCATAAGCATATAGCAATATTTTTGGTAACAATGACAAAAATTGAAGGAAGTGGTAATTAGTGATGGACAATATTTTGAATAAATCATCTTTCATAGTTTTCTTCAAAAGTTTTCAATTTTTCGTTGATGGGGAAAGCCCCGAAAAGTTACTTACCTACCTACTAAAATGTAAAAGCGCTCCGCATAAAACTCACAAACGTTTAACAACAGTGCAAGCGCAAGTATATGACGGAAAAGTGTGCCAACACCGATATGCTCCTGACTTTGCTTAGATAGTCAATAATAATATCGATCAAAGCACGATTTTAAGCAAATCCGACCGATATTTGTATAACGATTACTAAGACTATTCCGATAGACTATCGCTATTTTGAGACAGAATTTAAGACAGGGCAGATCAACTTGTTCTACTTTTGCTATAAGTAAGTGCGTAGATCCTAGCGTCTGTGAATCTGTATTGAAACGTACAAAGTTCGCGAATTATTTCTAAAACTCTTGATAACAAATAAGGAAATGAATAATCTATGGCGAAAAGGTATGAAAGTGGCCGCAATTGAAGTGGAAATAAGAAGAGAAAATTACGCGAAACTTATACTTAGTAGACTTACCTGGTCCTTTAAACATAGCGCACACCATATGTGGCAACGTGGACATATAATATTTTATATTACGTGGAACATCTTTTAATGGTCTTAGCTTAAGGGGCAAGGAAATCCCAAGACCTCCAGAAATTTTATGGCGACTTAATTGCGTTGTCAGGGCACAAA